TGACGACCTGAAGCCTTCTGACGACCTGAAGCCTTCTGACGACCTGACGCCTTCTGACGACCTGACGCCTTCTGACGACCTGAAGCCTTGAAGACCTGAAGCTTTGTGTCTTCGTATCTTCGCGTCTTCGTGTCTTCGCGTCTTCGTGTCTTCGTGTCTTCGTGTCTTCGGGTCTTCGGGTCTTCGGGGCTTCGTGTCTTCGTGTCTTCGTGTCTTCGGGTAATCGTATCTTCGTGTCTTCGGGTCTTCGGGGCTTCGCGTCTTCGCGTCTTCGTGTCTTCGGGGCTTCGTGTCTTCGTGTCTTCGTGTCTTCGTGTCTTCGCGTCTTCGCGTCTTCGTGTCTTGTTGTTTTCTGGTCTTCGGGTCTTGGCGTCTTCGCGTCTTCGCGTCTTCATGTCTTCGGGTCTTCGGGTCTGCATGACTTCGTGTCTCCGAGGCGTTATGTTTTCCTATCTTTGTGTCTCCGCGTGTCTTCGAGTCGTCGTAGCTTCGAGTCTTCGTGTCTTTGTCTTGGAGTCCTTGTGTTTGCGCATCTGGTCCGCCTTCGTTCTTTGGACCCCTCGCGTCTCGGTGTCGTCTCAAGGGCATGACTTCGCAAGCTCATATCCTCTTGTCTTGGCCACTTTGTGAATTCGAGTCTGGCTATCTGGATGTCCGGTGACGCCGAAGTCAAAAATACATGACATGACATGAGTGTATAATCTTGGAATTTTTGGTGGCCATTTTGGCCTGCGAGGCCACACATGATGACAGGTTATGCGCGACACTTCCAGGTTATGTGCATTTTTTTCCTCCAGAGCAGCGCGGCAGGGCGAAACTCTCTTCTTGGAAGTTTCCCGAAGTGTAGTAGCACATTTACCTTGGTGGAGGGGAGAATTGAAGCTGTGTCTGTTGATCAAAGCATGTAGAGTAGATCAGTACCAATATGCATCCTGTTTCTGCCTAGCGTACAATGACATTTTTTCAATCTATGAAAAAGACATTTGGTGGGCACCATCAATTCTTGCCTACAGGAGGCCACTCAGGTCATCCACAGTTGGTTGAAGTATAGAATTGTGTGTGCGCTTGTATGTGCCGATTCGCGACCCCGGCGCATGGTTTTTGATTGGCCTTTGTTGACGCGGTCATTCTTGAAGGCCCACGAATGTAGGAGCAGGTTGTCCTGGCGCAGAAGGCGCGGAGTGTTTGTTGGCAACAATAGCCAAGTACATATAGGCAAAGATTGACCACCATCATGAAATATTCATGAAATATTCGATGTGCATACATGTTCAATGCCTGGCCTTGTTTGTTGGGCCGATAGCTGGTTGATTCTCGGCTGCTTGGAGTCGTACATCCTGACAGGCTTGTCACAATGGGTTGCTGGTTTTTCTGTGGGCATGAGGAGAGTGCTGGAGAATGAGAAGCTGTGGAGGGGAACAAATGTGGAGCAAATTTGGTTATACTACTGTCTAGTGACTTAGGCATATGTGGTTCAAGGTATATATCCACACGGCTACCCACAGGGCTAGGTCATCTGTGCTCACACATCGAGCAATACAGGATGTCTAGGTGGGGAAACCTGGTGCCATAGGACCTTTGGACGCCTCCACCATTAAAAAAGAAGCCTCTTCACTGAACGTCTCATTTTCTGTGGATTGTGATGGTTGTGGCCTGATGACATAGGACTTGAGAAAATGCCCATATTGGTTCAAGCCTGATGACATAGGCCTTGGGAATCGCCATGTATGTTCGACAAGTCCTAAGTTACTAGTCAGTAGTAGATTATATTCGTCTCCGTCGTTTCTTTTTATGAATTATGAATGGGCGTTGTTCATTTCATGTGGGATGCACCTCTGTTTCCACGCGACCAGGTCTGGTGCCATGTTTCCCTTTCCAAACACCAACCTCTTTCTTTCTCTCTCTCTCTCTCTCTCTCTCTCGGTTTGTCTTCCTCTTTCTTTCACGTACTGATGCGACATTGGGTACGTCAGTGAGACGCCCTGCTCTAGGGCAAAGAAATACAGAGGCGCTTGCTCTGTGTGAAAGATCGTAGCGCACAAGTAGATTATGGTGAAGGCTGAAGATGCGCTCATGTTAGCTG